CTGTATTATATAATAGAAAATTCGAAAAATCTAACGAGACAGTAATACCGCCCAAAAAATGCTCAACGACGATATCACAGCGACGTATCTCGCTAGTAATAAACGCGTGCTCAACTTAAACGTGGTCTAATAATAGTTGCCGCCACTGTTCGTATCACTGAATACGTTTGTTTGGCACGTATAATCTCCAAAGTACAAGATGAAGGCCAAACGTTCTTCGTGCGACTGTACATGTTAAACAAATATTGTTGCATTTTTCTTTCTTAAGTACATCTATTCAGTTGAGTGATCTTTACATATTATCAAAAAAAAATCAAAGGGGCAAAATATTTTTGCTTTACGAAATTTCGTTTGTGAAGCCAAAGCTAGTGTAAGTGGTTTTTCATACTGTTCGACTGTGTAACAATGGAGTCAGTTGGCTAAGTAGCTGACGCCGTCTAAGGCGATTCCGCATACGCGGATTCGCAGACGAGCTTTTTTTGCAACTCGCATATTGCCCACAGGTCTTGATCAGATCTGTAACATACGTACCTTTCGATACAACAAGTATGATGGATGAACCGAGGCGGCGTATTCGCGTCCAACAATACGTGATATTTGAAAATACCAGACATGGCGATAGGAGTCACAATTAAACAATCGAGAGACTGAAAAAGAGGTGGTCTTCATTTCACGTTTTTAACTTGAATCTGTCCATTGTAGTCTTTTTGTAGGTAATAATCGTGAACTGCGTAACTAGTTCTGCGGTAAGTTGCCTCTCGAACGATATCGTCCATAGATCTTTTAAAAGAGATGAATACAATTCTTTCGACGAATCTTGTTCATCCCGTGTGGCATAAAATGTCAATAGAAATTTTACGATCAAAGTAGTACTATTGCGGTAGCCATATCACATTTAAGCAACCGCGTTTTCCCAAGTGACGACAAGCGTAATTGTAAACGTCACACTGCCCAGTAGATAGCGGCCAAGATTACGCTTTTATACCGATGTAAAATCTATTCACAATATTAACAGCTGACTCTAGTGGCTTTGTTTAACTTATATAAATGCCATTGGAGTAGGGTCATCGATTGAAGTAGGGGAAAGGGGAGTCCCTACGATGGCCTACGAACCAAAAGTACGTTGCGTTGTTACAGGTTCATACAATAAGTTATAATAATAGATTTGATTTAGGTACGAGCTCAAAGCCCTTCCATGTCTACGAGCATCTCTCTTATGTTTACTCTTGAATAAATTCGATGTCACCTGCTAAGATGGTCCCATTCAAATCTCCATTGTACGATAGGCCAACGTTATTGTTACTGGATACAAATTTTCGAACTCTTCACACTGTACTAGTTATTGCCCGATCACTTCTAACAACATCTGTCCATCCGAAGATTGCAGAAGATTTCGAATTTTATGCTTTTCAACGAGTACATGTTTGCGTATACGCACGTCCGAAAGATCTACAAGACAGCTGTAACAACTTTTGGGTTCCTTTCGTGGTCTGAAAGGAGCGGACAATAGTGGAAACAACATTTAAGAAAAAAGAAAGACTTCAACATAAAAAATTCAAACAATTCAACAAAAATTATCCACAGACTGTGATTCTAATAAAAAGCGGAAAAAATGCCTTTTTCAGTTATCTTTACAAATTTGTAAAAAATCCAACTGTGACAGTTGCCTAGTTGTTTGACTTTCACATAATGAGGCCTACGAAATTCGAGTTTTCGGAGGTATCCAGCGACCTAGTGCTTACTTGGCATTTAGAAAGTTATCACTTGAAACAGTAGGAGAATTATACTGAGTTACTAGGAAACGATAGAACAGGGTAGTGGAGTATTCCTGTTCAACTTTCTCGGCTAATTCTGCCGTGTGAATAAGTCCTCGGAATCGCCTCCTCAGTATGGCATTGAGGACTTACCGCCATTGAAGGTTTAAGTGAACTAGGTATTCCCGGACCTACCTAGAATTTTTCCAATGAACCTATTAAATGGCGTTGTAACTAGAGCATAGTAGGAATGGAACAGTTCAGGGCTGTGAAAGGCTAATGCATGATGCAGACCAGACCAGACCAGACCAGACCAGATCAGATCAGACTAGACCATACTGTTAAGATGTTTGCCTGGTACGATTGGTACTTTCACTCATTAAATTTCCAACCCTGTATATTCGAAGAGCAAAAAGATCTGAAGCAGGGTAACGGAGTAACAAAGTTGTAAAAAAGTTACTGAGCTCATGAGATTGAATTCAGGACAAAAGAACAATAAAGTAAAGTGAAAAAATCAGAGTTTTAGGTGAATGACAAAGAGGGAACTAGAAAAAGACAACCGGGCCAACTCCAATAACTGAGCTTACTTAATAGGACGCTAGGATAGTTACGGTAGAATTACAGAAGTAATATACGAGATTAAAGAAGAAGAAATATTGTAAACAGGCAACGTAACTGACGGCTGTAACGAGTTGGGATACGTGGCTAGGATTCAGGCCAAGGAGGTTTACCTTCGCTTCAGGTTGAATTGGTGTCCCGTGGAGTCGAAGTACCAACCTAAGGCTAATTAGGGAAAAGTGCGTGCGTTTAGTGAACACTTCTGCTAAAGTCTCACACTGCTATAGCAAATATCTAAATATGAGGCCCGATGTCTGTAACCGAGATTTACACATTAACCTCTTGACAAAAAGTCGGATCAGAACACTAATGGTATATCATTTGATAGCGTTTAGTTTAGATATATAATCGGGATCATGTACACTAAAAGAAGAAGTGAGCTTAAGATTCTAAATAAATGTATGGGCAAAAGCGGACGAATTTTACGTACGGCTGATTCTGCTTGTTAGCGCACTGATCAAGTGGCATTCGGTGCTGATATTATAATTGAAACAGAAGTGCACAAATATGCAGCCTTCTGCCAGGTTGGTTTTTAGGACAGCCTTTTATATTCATTCTTAAAGGAACAGCAAGTGATTGTATTCATATGCAGATAGTAACATGTCTGATCAGAAGAAACAGATCATTTCTTCGTCACAGCTTAAAAAAAGACAGTACAAGATTCTAACGGCTAGGAAATTCTGGCGGCTTCGATGGACGCAAAGCTTATGTTTATTCAGATGACAGAAATAGCCTCCCAGATACAAGCACTTCGGTGTGTGTTCAATGCTTAAGTTTTATAGAAAAATTCAGAAGCGAGGTTATTTGTCAATAACTGTCTTTAACAGGATGTGATTAGAATGACAATTAAACGAGATGAAAATTTATAGCTTACAGAATAGTCTGAATTGAGCCATAAGTGAATATATGTAGCGTGGACAGCAGTCAACTGAGAAACTTCAACGCGGCTATTATAGCAAAACTTAATCCTTACGATTTTTTAAGTTGACAGTTCTTCAATTGAAAGGGTACGGCGAAAGATGTGCGAAGCCAAAGAAGTGTCGGAGCCGTCTGTCGTGAAAAGGACGTTTTATGATTTAGATCAGAGCAAATATTGAAAAAAGGAGAACTATCATGTAGAAGTTGTGTTGAAGATAGCACCGAAACCGCGCACACCGAGTAGATGAGGGAACGAAGCCTGAACGTGATGATACCTATAATTTCTTAGATAATAATTCTTAGTAATATAATAATATAACTACCATTAACATTTCTTTTGAAACGATATGAGAGATTCTTAGAGTTGTATTTTTGAGTATAGGTAGATTTGGGTAGGTATCTCAACTGGGCGGATAATTCAGGCAGTGACATTATAATAATTAGTCATTTCTAGGGGATGATATTAAGGTAAGGCCGCAGGCCTGTTTAAATGATGATTGTGTTGGTCATAAAACTACGTTTGACTATGAATGATAAAAATAATGTGTATATTAACAATCGCAATACATTACCCTATACACAATGAACATCAAATTGTCTAGTTCAGGCCAAAGCGTACCTTCCAGCTGTAGTCTACAAGTTCGACGGTTTCAAATATTGCCCTTCTCGGAAAGCTTCAGCGGGAACGCTCTTTATAAAATGCGCGTGGTTTGAAACGAAGGGTAGTCCTTATATGCCATGCATTTAATTTATGATGTGGCTTAAGTGCCTTACTTCCCATGTAAACTGTTCCTGACCAGCTCTGGATTGTCACAAGAAGTCGTTAGCGTGAAGCGCGTGATCAGTCTCAAATATAGAGATCAGCCTCCGAAAATTTTTTGTATTTGTAATAAGATCATTAAAGACAGTAGTCTCCCATAAAAAGGCCGCAGTTGTAGATTTTCTTCATACTCGGTAATATTACAACAATTGTTTATATGACAAATGTCAATTTATGAAGAGTGTAAAAACAGAATGTCGATCTGGTGACCTGCCCCACCAGACGAAAGTCCCCGGAACTATTATTCTTTTTGACTAACTCTAAAAGGTTAGGTGGGATTAAACCAATACATGTGGGCTTTACGATGACAAAATGTGTTAATACGAAAACACTATAACAGCGTAAGTACACACATAAACAGGCGATTAAATACACGAGTTCTCAGATGAAGGATTTCAAAACCTGTCAGGAAGTGTTTTGCGGTCACTTTTGGCAAGATTTTACGATAAAACAGTAAGCTAGATTAAATAAGAAGAAATCAACTTTTAGCCTCGCAGATACCACTGAATGGCTCAATTTGAAGTTGATTAGAAAACCGAAAAAGGTCAGATCACTGCAACGTTTAAACTCTGTCTGATAGGGGACCACCCGAACTCGTTCTTTTAAAAATGTGACGTCAGCCATTAACAAACTGATAACTATTAAGACAGTCTAAAGGGCTACTATGTAACATTTGCAGAGTTTTCTCTTATCATTTGCTTTCCTTTTAGTATTTTTTTTTCTCTATTTCTTTTTCTTGGGATGTATTGACATTTTTCATATTCTACTATTTTTCTATATTTTATTTCGTTATTTCAATTCTATCATAAAAACTAAAATATATTTATCTATATGCGTTCTCTTTATTTTTACATGTCTAAAAAGTAAAGTTGATTTTCTATTTGTTTCAGAAATCTGCTCGAAGACGGCGTTTCCGCTTTACTTTATGCTGCCGAACGGATAATTTCAAGCATACGAACCTTTTCGGAGGTTAAACGTGCTAACAACTGAGGTTCAGGATAAGGCATATCGCTCACCAGGTTCTGGTAAGTTGTTGAGGAAAATTTGCGGTGGTACCCCGAGAACTCCCTTAAAATTATCAGATCATGGTAATATTCAATATTTACAGCCGTTTATGGCATCTAAATTAGATTCTTACAGAGTGAATGAAAAGATAGATAACTTCTAATTGGCAGGGATGGAGTAGCTTCGTGAAGTAACTGCATTAATAAAAACACCAGCAAATAGCATAACGGGCGAAACCAAAAAGTAAAGCCAAACGCATAACAGCGAACATTCTAAAACGAGTCAAGTAGGTACAGCCTTTCGACCGTGATAATAGCGCTAGTAATAACAAACTGTAGTACATACAAATTTGATTTAATTAAATAGATATTACGATATATACGATAAGTAAAATACAGCCGTTTTTTTATTCATCCCATAGCCTACATGCAGAGGTGGCGATGGTAACGTTGCCAGTGCTTCTGCGATTGTTTGTTTAATTACTAGTTCGGTTCAACTCATTTAGTCAATCAGCAACAAGTTCGAATGACGATCGTTGGTGTTGAAAGTTCTCGAGTGTACTAAGAGGGACAGCCAAGTTCGTAGCGTTCGGATTCAGTCCTTAAATAGAAAGAAAAAGAAAGTATATCAGGCGCGGTTTATTTGCGTGACAGCAAAATACAGGAACAATGAAGCAAAGGCCTGTCGGTGCCAGTAGATTGGTCTGCAGAACGACGAGACCCAGCGAAGTTTTCTCGTTGCTTAGTCAATGCATATAGTTTACGCGTAAGTCCTTTAGACCTTTGGGGAGAGAACAGAGAGGAGCAACCGTAGGGGCAGGACTGGAATAGGAACAAAGCTCGCGGCCACCCCCCTGAAGTGAAGTGAGCAAACAAACCTCAAACTGTCTAGAAGTAAGTTGAACTATCGAGGTACACAGGTTCACTTACCCGGCACACACTAGGGGAGGGGGAGGGTGTTATACTCGGAGAGTTTCCCTGTGACATCGTTGATTGCCCTGACAATTTACCACATGTACAATGTTCTTAGCGTTGCTGTTGTCGTTGTTATTTGTCGATGAAACTGTCATTGAGGACGTTCAACAATGTATGATCGGCTCAGTCAGCTCGTGATGTCTTGGTCTGCCTGGTGGCAGTGTGCGGCGTAGTTACATTATTGCGACTTAGTAAAGGATCTCGAGATTTATGCGAGACCTATTGATTAAAGAAATATAGTTTAATAGTCCACATAATTCCCTCCACATTACACAAGGCAGAGGAATATACAAGGAGACAACTGCAGGATGGCCGTTTCTAAGTGACCGTATACCACTTTAGGTTTTTTTTTATACACTGTTTCTATTTTTTTGCTAGTTGTTTATTTCTATTACTAAACCTTACGTAGAGCTTTGGATTGTAGATATCACTGATACACTATTAACACAAGCGAGAGTGGCAAACGTACATGAAAATTTAATTGTATCCTTTACGGATAGTGGCCTACATTGTACTTGACCAACGAAAAAGGTCCTATATAATCAGATGAGCTGACGTTATTTTCACATCTACTTATACGTCTTAGGAAGTTCGAGGACTGAAATTAATATAATCGTTTTAGTATGTATATTCACAGGCAGTCGATGTGCTTCGATGGTACGCACCTTTTAGGTCAGAAAGAGGCCCTGATTAGAGGCTGAAGTCGGTTAATTAGTTTACGTTTAGAGTCTCTCTTTGTTCTTTTAAAAAATTGCACTTTTTCCTATACTTTATGCTGCATTATAATCTTAGCCTGCAGCAGATGTCCTCGACGTTCTTTGGCAGATTGTATTGTGCCGATAAACTGAAAAAGCTATACATTTCTCCCTCGAGAGCCCTACGTGACGCTCAAGCCCTAATGATCTCTCGAATTTTAAAAGTAAACGATTTCCGCGCACTGTTACTCTTCCAATAACTACTCCATTTCATTGTTACCCATCTATCACCTTTGTTTTCCAGTCACGAATAGATGAATACTAGCTTCCCCCTATTTGTGCTTATTAGCCTCGTCTCTCGTTTTTTCCGATTGCTTCCATTGCGGCCCTAACGTGAAACTATATCCAGTTTGCTCCCACTTTTATCCAAGCACTAACCTGCATGCAGGACGTTCGCCATTTTCTAACCGACAGCTGTTATTCAAACTCTCAGCAAGATCTACATTTCTACCTTCACGACAGTATAACGATAACCAGCCTATGGATTCGTTGTGTTCAGCATCGTTACGTTGCTGTTTGCAGCGAGACCTATTCTTGTTCCCATTATTAATAGACTGGCGTTTCGATCTCGGCAGCAGTCCAGCTAAAACACGGTTCAACAAGATAGCTTTGCGCGAATTGTCTGCATGTGTATAAGAGGCGACAAAACGGTCCTACTACGCCGGTCGAAGTAACCTATCCGGGCCGATCTCTAAAGGGCGAAGGTTGGCAAAGCAGGATTTATTGACCTCTACTGTCAGTAGAAACGTATGTGACTAATATTACTTATACACAGAAATATAGAGAGGTATACAGAAAGTCATATGGAAGATCGCAATGAAGCGAACGACATTTTACGGTCAGTTAGTATATTTGTACACATAGTATAATCCTCCACTTAGCCTGATCCCTTGACCCACTTAGTTAGAGACCGGACTACATCTCATTTCCCGTCGTTCTTTTGCCAAACAGGAGATCGGCACACAACGACCGCCAAGCCAACTAAGCACTAACAAAGAATGACTGCAGGCTACGGTTACGAAATCAAACAAGGCCGGGTGCTGACAGCAAATATGGGCCTGCCCTGTCAAATGACAGGCCGACCATTTAAATGTAATTGGGCGTAATTGTTGGCGCGATCTTGTGTCGTACGTCTGGCGGGATATGCAAGCTGGGTACTGCCTTCGTATAATCCATAATATGATTCGCCTAGAATGATTACAGCGGTGTGTGTATGAAAGGAAAGCTAATTTCAACCGGGTTATTGGTTACAAAAAACTGTGGGGAACGCAACAAGCATCAATTGTTAAGTCAAAGAAAACGGTGAAGGGGTATTACGTCACGTTACGAAAAGTATAAATATCGTTTATCTTATTCCAGAATAAAGTAAGCTCTATGTCTTATCATCCCGTTTTGGTTTCCTAAACATTAAACGATATTGTAACAAACGACACCGATACTGTACATTTACTTTAAAAAGGTACATCTTAATGTAGCAAAATCTTCTACCAAATAAACTATGTCGAAAGATGATAAATTGACAGAACAGCGGAGAATTATTTCGAAAATTTTTTCTTCAAATAAATGCCATTGGGCTCAAGTTAATTCAAGCAGATGTTGTATTTTTCATTTCACATTTCAAATTCTCCAGGGGTTTCGCCATTTGACTTTGAATCCGTATTCAATTAATAATTTTGGCTTGCATTTTCTTATTATTTACTATTTATAATTTTCTTATTACTTATTGTATATTAACTCTCAAGGCACTAACGAATTCATTAGGTATTTTTGCTGCAGCGTTTATTATTTTATATATATATATATATTACGGATCTTACGACGTCAAGTGGCTGATTCGTGTTCTCTTTAGAAATGAGCGGTATATATTCTGTCTGTATAGTCTATACATCTGTGTATAATATGGTCTTCAATTTATATGACTCCACTAAAAACAGCAGTTTCGACCACCTTCGAAGTACCTAAATAGAGGTCATTGGACAGTCAATATACTGAATATGTCTGCACTGGATTCGGCCATAGACGATTCGAGTAAGCGAAGAGTGAGGTTCGTCAAGCGGAGGTGACCCGTCATAATCCGAAAACTAGTTTGGAGCAATTAGCTTTTTATCCATATAGTAGTCAGTGATTTACTTGTAAATTACAATACGGCCGCGAAAACGGAGCGACCCTGTGTGAGGTTATAACGTCAAGCGTTTATGCGATGATGCTATAGGCCATACCATCTCCTAAGCGAGTATGTACTTCGCTGCCAAACCCCCCGTGTTAAGAGAAACCACCGTATGTTGCTTACGGAACACGTATGAAAAACAATTTATCAAGATCATCCTCGTAGCCTTAGCGCGGCTTCGTTCAACAAAGTTCAAGCAGAACGAGAGAAATTTTAATGGTGAAGGACAATTAAAGACGATAGCGAACCAAACGCCGACATAGGTCCTTCGACTTCTTTTATGAGGAAGCGGCAATTTGTACAGCATTTAGGCAAGCATCCTTGAAGTAACGGACATTACAGATTGCTGGAAATAACCTGAGCACATTTCGAATGAAGGACACAAACAAGTGCTAGGCGCGTTCTGTGCAGTCCTTCCAGTTGTCAGATACAGTTGTCTGCGTACGCAGGTAAACTTAAATGTTTCAGGTTTTGCGTCCGGTTCTATTATCGGACGTTACTTCGGATGGCTAGTTTTTTTCCTGCACCAAGTCAACTGTATTTAGATCACCTTAAGAAACCTTAAGTTTAGTAGACGAGGCTGTTACCACCACGAGGACTCGTAGTCCTCCCAAATTCAGGTCTATGAGTTATTAGCTTCGCCGTTTTTCAGAAAGCACAAATGCTCGTAGCTACATATGTGGACGCCAGGAAGGCTCGCCATATGGTAACTCCTTTTCTAAAATTATTTTTGGCGTTGGAACGGATATTATGGAGAAAATACATATCCAATTGTATCATTGCCGCGACCCCTACCATTTTGTAGATAGCTCAACACCGACCGTGTCGGACGCTTATAGATTATGTGCATCATTGATCATAAGTTAATGATCCAACAAAGCAACGTTTTGGTGTTATCTGTGTTTGATTTTCATTACTCTGAGAGGTTCGCTGGCAAAAGTTCATAACTATTTAGGCGTGGCCGCGGACGGGGACAACGTCAAAGTTGTCAGCTTTGCTTTTGCTTAGCCGCGACCCATGCCGACCCCTGAGAAATAATAGAGAACACCACAACACAAAGTGTTCCGGCTACCTCCAAAGAAAAATTGATAACTGACTGAGCCTGCTTCTCGAATCTCCTCCGACACCGTCTGTCTTACGTTACCAGTGGCCTAGCATCATTTATACGACAAGCCCAATTTCGATCGGGGCAGGCTGCACGCTTCCACAAATAGATCCGTAAAGAAGAGTCTGTGGACCCATGTTGGAGTAACACAGATTTGTGCTGTTCGCTGCTGTCGCGTTGAGATCGTTAACACCAAAAAGAGCAAAAATTCATTCTTCGACTAACATGCGAGCCTATAAAGAACGGCCATTTTGGAAGGGCCAAGAAGTCACAGTAGCCGAATTCAACATGTAAACTTTCTCGCTCAAATGTAAGCACTGAGCAAACTCTACCCGTCTGTTCGATATCAACAAAGTAAGGTAGGTATTCGAAGTCGTTTTCGGATTCGAATTGGACTATAACTTAGAAGGTGTTTCCTTTAAAGTTACCTCATTCAGCATATGTTTCCCTAGAGTACAATAACCTGAAAGAATCTATCCAGTTCTTCAGACCATCTTTCTTTCAATCCGGCTCCTATTGCGATAAAGTGTAAACGGAATTCGACTTAAAGCTGTTAAACTAATACAAAAGCGAAGTAGTTTACATTATCATTATATAATTATTATATTATTAATTATAAAATAAACGGTGAAAATTTGTCGATAAACAGTAACAATAGTAAGTAAATATGCCATGTGCAACAAGTTAGAGAAGGAAAACATGAAACTAAACTACTACTTAAAACCATTACCGACCTGTCTTATTTATTATTAAAGATGCAATTTAGCATTTCAAAAACAAGTACAGGCTCGGCCCATGGGAGTCATGAGCGAGAAATATTTTTGTTCTACGTCAAAACGCAAAGCGCGGACGCAAGAGTCTCCAAAAAGGGAATTATAGCACTCGGAAACCTCTATTAGAAGTTTCACGAAAGCTTCGAGTCACCTCCATACCACCATTAGTTACTATAACATTAGTAAGTTCATATCCATAGTTGTTCTCTATATTTTGTCCTGGCCGGTGTCCGCAAACATTAGAAACTCATGTCATTGGAATGTTTTTGCTAAAATCAATCAAAAAACAGACTAAATCCATACAGAAAGTGTGATCATCTTTTGTGTGTATCCATGTCACAGTGCAGGCGGCTCGTCCTTGTTTTCATTTACTGGCATTAGCTCCAACTCATTGTCACATTCTTTCCACGGACATTTGCTCAGGACGCAAGGTTCGTGATTCACCGATTCAGGAGAGCAGCTAATGCAAAGCTCGGAACAAAAAATGAATCTCCGTCTTACGGACAGCTCATGTAGCTCGGCACATTGACAAAAGAAGCAAACAGCGCTAACGTCCCACATTTCCAGGCTGCGCCGTGGTTTCGAACCTTAGTACTGTTTCGTACGTAGTTATCTTTCGTGCTTGATACGTGTATACTTGTATTAGTACAAGGCCCTAACGAAACGTTCTTGTTTCAGGAACGTACTACAGGCTCGTACGATGACCTAGTGAATCATGCTACGTCCATAAATGTACCTTGACAACATTAATTTAAATCTGGTTCGACAGCTGTAGAGTAGGGAGCGTGAACGAAACTTTTGCTCGACATACTGCATCTAGATTACATCAAACGTGTTTCTTCTGTTACGTGCCGGGCTCATTTTGAAGTAATTAATTATAATTACCCAGGCGTGTTGAGTTGTATATGATGTTCACGTATTTGTAAGTTCTCTATTTTCTTTGTACAGATTGTCAATTTAGATGTTTTTCTCTGACGACAGTTTCTCGAGCCCTACGAACCCACGGAATGTTGATTATCGGAGTGGCCGATGAAAATGGCTTGTATTGGCTAAATATTTTGTAACGGTTTTAAAAGAGCAAATTTACGTCTATACAGTTTTACAGACCTGCTCTCCAGCGTGCACGTCATAAATTAAAACTTTGCTTACTGCGGGTTCGAGACTTGCGGTGCAATAATATTTTCTATCGCCTTATATACATTTTGAATTTGCAAAGCCAGAAGCAATGACAGGAAAAAATACGCCCGATTAAAGAACTGCCATTTTGTAGCTTCCTTGAGGACCATACAGTTATAGCGTAGCTTTCAGTTTGACGGACCGAATATCGACGGATCAGACGACAAAATGGTTGTACGGTAGAGAAAGAAGCATCTCGACATATGCACACGGTTCTCGTGTTAAGAAATTTGTCGGGGCAGTGATTTATGGCGACCAGCTATCGTCTATAAGACTTTTTGCTTTGGTTCTGTTTTTCAGAGTTAATTTATACATCCATCAGCTACTCGTCTTAGCATGCTTTTCCCTGAGCGGTTTTCACTATTCTCAAATACGTTTCAACTTTTTTTTCTCCTTGCGGCACAGTCGTTTACTTGTTTTCTATTCGATATGAGTTAGTATACAATGTTGCTACTCTATAGTCCCGTCCGTATGCCTTCAACTCATTCTGAGGAGATTTCTTTGTCACTTGCCAACATGCTGTCCAGGCTAGCCAGGGTCGTCTGCTGGAATATCCTTTTTATACCAAATTTGGATTGTCGCACTCACAGCGGGAGAAAGCCTTGGAATTCCTAAAACGGGTCTGTACGGTTGCTTTTCTACTTGTCACTTTTCAACATCGGGTACGAAATTTTGGTTCATCAGTATGAACTTACCTGCGGCATTTACAGTGTTTTCATAAAAATCTTCCTTTGGCCGCTTCGTCACCCCAGTGTATCTCAATGAATGAGTTCACTCTTCTCTGCCTCATTTAATCGGTTAAGCAATTGCAATACATCATACAATGATAGAGATGATTCTATTTTACCAACCCATCCCGGGAATCAGCTTGATGTGTCAACGTTGCTCAGTCGATTAGGTAACGTATGTCTTAGGTGTTTCTACACGGCATGGTGAGCAAATCTGGAAACTAGAACTGATCCTTAGCGAAGGATAACGAAGAACTCTGAAGGCACCACCGATCTGCCTACATTTCAACTACTAATTGTAGTTCAGTATCTCGACACAGCCGCGTATTGACTTAGCTAATACGTGTTCCAAGATCGTAACTCTGCTCACTTTAATAATGCGCCCACTAGCATAGTAATTCAGTCACAACTGTTGACAGCATTATCGTATAAAGAGCTATAAAGTAAACAATAAGATAGAGACAAAATGGAAAAGGGCGGGGAACAAAGTCGGATGGAAAATTAAAGCTAGCCAAGGAACTATTAACGAAGAGGCACTGGACTGCAGCTGTTCTATGAGCAGAATATACTATCAAGTCCGGCAACATAATTGTTAG